AAAAAAAAAAAATTTGACCGCCGGTCAACGCCGGAATCCGGCGGGAAAAAAAAGTTTTTGAAAAAAAAAAAATTTGTGAAAAAAAAAAAGTTTTGGGTCAAAATTGAATAATTTGTGAAAGTTGGGGTCAAATTGAAGTTAAAGTAAGTTAAGGATGAAATTGGAGCATATTAAAGTAAGAGGGGTTATTTTAGTCCTTTACATAAATCTGGACCATGTGTGGACTTATTAGTAAAGGAGAATATTGTCTGGATCTCTTTATGAATAAGTTCCCACTGATGGGCTTATTTGTAATATACCCTAGTTCATATACTAAAAAAATATTATATTTTCTTTTTTATATAATTAATTATAAAAAAATATAATTGTTGTAATTTTCGATAGGATATAATATGCCATGGCAATGATATTAATTATTGAGTACCATTATCCTATAAAAAAAAAATCGGCACACATGGCAGTTAATCTACCACTACCGTTAGATACAGAGAAAATTCAGTAAAAAAGAAAAAAAAGAAATATATCCTTACTTATATTCCATTATTTACAATAGGGGTAAATTACAACCACCTTCATGAGATAAAAATGTAAATACAAAAAAAACGTCTTATTTTTTAGAAATTACATTCAGATCTCTAAAATTTGTAAATTTCTTACATCCAACCACAACAAAGTGGTGCTAATGAGAAATCTACAAATTACAGGTGTGGATGCAAATCCCGTCAAATAAACATGTTGTTCGTGTTAATGTGCTTAAAAACAGTAGTCGTCGAGTTAGACGGAAAGCTCTAGAAACCCTTCGGTCTGTTTTCGAATATGATTCCGATAATAAGGTTGATTTTTTTAATGTATGTATATCGAATTTTTTAATTTTTTTTTTTTAATTTTGAATTTAAATTTTTTTGTAGGAAATAATGGCGGAAGAGAACACGGTGCGAACAATGGTGAAATTCTTGTCACACGAGCAATCGGAGGAGAGAGAAGAGGTTGTTTCTTTGTTGTACGAACTTTCTAGATCGGAGAAGCTATGTGAGAAGATTGGTTCAGTTAATGGGGCGGTTCTCATTTTAGTAGTAATTCGGAAGATGTTTTGACTGTTGAAAAAGCCGATTTACCCTTGATAATCTTGCGCAGCGTGAGAACAACGTAAGACAAATGGCTGATTGCGGCAGATTGCAGCCACTTCTTACGCTATTACTCGGAGGTAAACTCATCAACTTTTTGCAAAATCTTTTTTCAGTAAGCAGAAATCAGTGATCAAATTACAACCACCCATGAGGTATGATTGAATTACTAAAACTATCATTTTGTTTGGGTAACTACAACCACTCCTTTCAACTATAAATCTTTTTACACGTCAACCCTTGTAGCTTCAATTTAGCGGAATCTTCTAGATTATATGAAATATTCTCAATTTTGTAACCGTTTTTATCCCATTCGAGCTCCACATTTTGAAGCAAGATGGTCATAAGATGTGTTTTTTGGCTTGTAAATATCAGATTGTAATGCATCAGACACTATATTTTTGCACAAAACGAGTACAAACTAGAGAACATTCTACGGAATCTAGATGATTATGTTGAATTTGACACCATAAGGGTGGAGGTGTAAGAAAATTCAAGTTGAGGGGTATGTGTAATTATCCAAACATAAGGGGTTTTTCGTAATTTGATCATTCCTCAGGGGTGGTTGTAATAATAATAATAATAATAATAATAATAATAATAATAATAATAATAATAATAATAATAATAATAATAATAATAATAATAATAATAATAATAATAATAATAATAATAATAATAATAATAATAATAATAATAATAATATTCTTCATCATCATCATCATCATCATCATCATCATCATCATCCAAACATCCTCTTCGTCTTCTTCATCACTTTAATTTTTCGAGCCATATCCTAGTGTGAGTAATTATATACTTAATACTACAAATTAAGGCTATGATTATTATTTTTCACGTCTTGCCTTCAATATTTATCAGAATTTCTAGTGCAATTCAGATAATATTGTTGGCCAACCCAAAATCAACGGTGATCCTGAATTGTACAAGAATCGAAATTAAATTAATGGCACATGAAATGAACATAACTAGGGAATATACGTTCTTAAAATATTCTCCGACTATAAGTGCAAGTACGGGGAATACCATCACACATAGCGCCTCGAGAGCTCTGAGTATGCGAATCTTTACTTCGACATCTCGTATCGACTTGTACCCATACGAGAGCAAGAGCGCAACATACACGAGCAGAATATATATCGCAGCTG